GGCATACAGTTCATGAAAACCCAAAATGCCTGTCCCAAAAAATTAGCATATTTCATCCCACCAATGAAAGACAAGTGTTTTTAATACAAAAAACGCCAACCTTCAAATAATCATGTTCAGTTATGCACTCAATACTTGGTCGGGAATCCTTTTGCATGAATGACTGCTTCAATGTGGCGTGGCATGGAGGCAATCAGCCTGTGGCACTGCTGAGGTGTTATGGAGGCCCAGGATGCTTCGATAGCGGCCTTAAGCTCATCCAGAGTGTTGGGTCTTGTGTCTCTCAACTTTCTCTTCACAATATCCCACAGGTTCTCTATGGGGTTCAGGTCAGAAGAGTTGGCAGGCCAATTGAGCACAGTAATACCATGGTCAGTAAACCATTTACCAGTGGTTTTGGCACTGTGAACAGGTGCCAGGTCGTGCTGAAAAATGAAATCTTCATCTCCATAAAGCTTTTCAGCAGATGGAAGCATGAAGTGCTCCAAAATCTCCTGATAGCTAGCTGCATTGACCCTGCCCTTGATAAAACACAGTGGACCAACACCAGCAGCTGACATGGCACCCCAAACATCACGGACTGTGGGTGCTTCACACTGGACTTCTGGCATTTTGGCATTTCCTTCTCCCCAGTCTTCCTCCAGACTCTGGCACCTTGATTTCCGAATGACATGCAAAATTTGCTTTCATCCAAAAAAAGTACTTTGGACCACTGAGCAACAGTCCAGTGCTGCTTCTCTGTAGCCCAGGTCAGGCGCTTCTACTGCCGTTTCTGGTTCAAAAGTGGCTTGACCTGGGGAATGCGGCACCTGTAGCCCATTTCCTGCACGCGCCTGTGCACGGTAGCTCTGGATGTTTCTACTCCAGACTCAGTGTACTGCTTCCGCAGGTCCCCCAAGGTCTGGAATAGGCCCTTCTCCACAATCCTCCTCAGGGTCCGGTCACCTCTTCTCGTTGTGCAGCATTTTCTGCCACACTTTTCTCTTCCCACAGACTTCCCACTGAGGTGCCTTGATACAGCACTCTGGGAACAGCCTATTCATTCAGCAATTTCTTTCTGTGTCTTACCCTCTTGCTTGAGGGTGTTGTAGTATGTCAGGACAGCTTTGCTGTGGACACACGGGCCACCATTTATGTTATTTAAAACACGTACGGGCCACTAAATGTAGTGAAATGTGGGGGACAGCTTAACTGTACCTTCACTACTAATTAATTATTTAATTACAACGGGTTCTTTCTTTTTCGAGTTAAATTAATGCCATGTGACGAGATAACTGTGATGGATTGTTTAATCAGTGACATGAGACGCTATTTTTCTTTGACCCATCAGAATAAATGTGGTCATTTATTTAACAGAATCAAAATTTAACATCAAAACATTGTACACTTGATTTGTTGATCTGGTCTGATTAATAAAAACTTGGCACGCTTTACTAAGAAGACAACAGAACATTTCTGAAGGTATCTAGATTGATTTACTGGCAAAAAGATTTACAAGAGGAGAGATTTAGAGGAAGATGGAGATGGATGGAGGAAAGATGTATGTTTGTTGACCAGAATTAGCACGCTTCTTTCAACACCAGCTCAAACCCCCGGTACACTCGGCGCGTGACGACTCGTTACCTTTGTAGAAGATAAATCAACTCCGGTACAGGGTCCATTTCAACGCTACCTTTCCAGTGTCTCCGGTTAAAGCGGCTGGTCATTGTCAGAAGTCGTGTGGTTTACTCCGGTAAACAGAACAAGCTCCCTTCGAAGTTGTAGGCGTTATGCCCGGGTGAGTTCACAGCAAGGCTCTGTGACTCCGTCAAAGATCCCACTCAGAAGTGGAATACTCCAAGAAGACTCCATCAAAGACCCAAGAAGACTCCGGTCAAAGACTGAAGAGTCGAGAAGCCTCAGATCAAAGACTCTGGTCCAAGACTGAAGAGTCGAGAAGACTCCGCTTCTTCCACGACTGAATAGTTCCAGGAAGTGTTGACTTTTAAAGAGTTCTCACTTCCGGTCACTTAGTACTTCCTGATTGGTTGAAACAACCAACAGGGGGTGGTTCTAGTGATGTCAGAGGGTTATTAAAAGTCAAGAGAGGGTACAGGAATGTTTAGGAACGTTTAGTACAGACAGAGAAATGTTATGGCGAAGTGAGACAAACGCAGATGCCAGTTGTTTCTTTTTATCGTCTGCTAGGTTTAAAAACAATACAGTTCGTTCTAATAACTTAGTTTCTGACTGTCTCTGACTTTCGACCGACATCACTGACTTCTCATTCAGACAGAAGATCAAAATGCATAATTACTTTAGACATTTAACTTGATTTCTAATTTAAATGAGGGTTAAAAATCATTAATACTGTTTCACATTTGATTTAAATGAGTGGTTTACTTTCAACATTAGAAATGATATGAACTAAACACACTTTTGATTATCAAGATATTGTAAAATAGTAATGATAATATAAAAAGAAGAGTGTTCTTTCAATTGATTAATTCAGGATACAATTAGACAGTCTCTGGATGAGCTAATTTGTATTTCTGGATTCAAATCAATGAAATAACAGTTCCTGTCCCATGAAGGTCTTCAGAGACAGGTTTTGGTCGGAGGCCTAGTTCACTACAGTGTCAATGATGGCCTTCTGGACAGCAGTCAGGTCAGCAGTCTTACCCATGATTGCGGTTTTGAGTAATGAACAAGGCTGGGAGTTTTTAAAAGCCTCAGGAATCTTTTGCAGGTGTTTAGAGTTACGTCGTTGATTCAGATGGTTAGATTAAGCTTGCTTAGAGAAACTTTTCATGATATGCTAATTTTTTGGGACAGGCATTTTGGGTTTTCATGAGATGTATGCCATAATCATCAGTATTAAAACAATTAAAGAGCTGCCATATTTCAGTTGGTGTGCAATGAATTTGAAATATAAGAAAGTTTCATTTTTATCATTACATTATGGAAAATAATGACCTTTATCACAATATGCTAATTTTTTGAGAAGGACCTGTAGTCTTGTCCTAGTGTTTACAGAACCAAACTCAGACAGATACTATAAAGAACAGTCTCACAAAAGCAAACATCCTCAAGGTTCCTTACAGTGGAGGGGAATGATAAACATCTGGCCAGCTGTTACTGACACCATCATTCCACAAACAGTGATACCAAAGCATTATAATAACATACCATTCAGATCAAATGACACAGAATAAGATAAGATGGCTCACACATAAGGATCATTATATAATGAAGTATCACACACACATACATGTTTCCCCTGACAAAAGCATAAACAGCATTCAGAATACACAACCTACAGATATGGACAGTAACCGTGGTAACGGACCACAAACCTCCACACCTCACAGACTATTTAACAACAAACCTGAGAACTGAACATTTAAGTTCTGTGGGGCCTCTTGGGGGTCTTTAATAGGTCATGGGACAAATCCTGTACTGGTTTTTGAGTTTGTGGCAACTCACTGGGAGCAAACAAACTCCACTTGAGTTAGGTGCAGGATGGTGTCAGGTAATTTTAGCTTCATGTATAAAAGTAGCCTAATACTACAGTAAAGTTGGAGTTTAACCTGGGCAATTCTGACATTGTTTCATCCATATTTTGATGTTAACACGTGATGTAAACATTATTCCGCTTACAGGAATGATATTGTAGTAATTTATATAAAAAAAACTATTAGGTTAGTCTCTTTAAAACACATTTGGTTCATCTGCATGAGAGACCTGTTAATTAATCAATTAACTGACTGATTAAATCACAATTCTCTCAGGAATTAACACAAATAACATTTCAGGGGTCTGACTGTTTGGAAAAAAAAAGAAAAAGTAATTTGATTGGTTGGTTGGTTCTCTCCACATATTGCACAAACACTGAACCAGTATTTTAGAAACAACATCTACAGTCCAAATTATGATCTAAGGTTTAATTAGTTTGTTTTTAAAGTATTCTTAAGAAACCGAGAGCAAATCATACATTGGAAACTTGTTGAAAATTGTTACAGAATACCTTTTACAAAGTCAAAAATTTTATTAGGGTGATAAGATACCAGTCGCATCTCATGTCCTATAATAGTTATTTTAATATTTTCTGTCATAAAGTTTCATTTCTGTGTGGACTCTCATGTGTTTGTTTAAAGCAGACTTCTGACTAAATCTTTTTCCACAAAGTTCACAAGTAAACGGCTTGTCTCCTGTGTGGACTCTCATGTGTTGGTTTAAACTTGTCTTATGACTAAACCTTTGTCCACAATGTTCACAAGGAAACGGCTTGTCTCCTGTGTGGACTCTCATGTGTCTGTTTAAAGCAGCCTTCTGGCTAAATCTTTGTCCACAAAGTTCACAAGGAAACGGCTTGTCTCCTGTGTGAACTCTCATGTGTGTGTTTAAAGTTGTCTTCTGACTAAACCTTTGTCCACAAAGTTCACAAGGAAACGGCTTGTCTCCTGTGTGGACTCTCATGTGTGTGTCTAAATGTGTCTTCCGACTAAATCTTTGTCCACAAAGTTCACAAGGAAATGGCTTGTCTCCTGTGTGGACTCTCATGTGTGTGTCTATATTTGTCTTCCGACTAAACCTTTGTCCACAAAGTTCACAAGGAAATGGCTTGTCTCCTGTGTGGACTCTCATGTGTTTGTTTAAACTTATCTTATGACTAAATCTTTGTCCACAAAGTTCACAAGGAAACGGCTTGTCTCCTGTGTGGAC